CCTTGAATATAACATAAACGGGGACGGGAATTAAAGGCTTGACTCCAAGCAACTAGGCCATAATTTTAATGTGTAACAGGGACCAATTGACAAGCTTGGTGGAAGGGAGAGCTAAATGTAGGTAAGAAGCCATGATCCAGAAGCCATTCAACTGGCATCTAAAGAGTGGCAAAGGTGATTACGCTTCACTAAACCCACTTGTAACAGCACTCTCGGGTGACATTGTAGGATACTAGAGCAGAGAATGATGTGAGTTGGTAAATGGGCGATATGAAGTGGGGTTGAGAGAAATAGATGTAGTACTAGAAGGTAAGGCAATAAAATAGGGATTAGGAGTTATGCCACAACTGTTGACAGATAATTGGTCATAGGGATTACCTTTACCTGTCACTTATAAGGGGTAACTCTCTGCTAACGATAGTGTCTCATTTACGATATCGGTGAAATGCCTGGAAATGTACCATGTCAATAGTCCTATTCTTGAAATCAGGAATAATGTAGCAGAGGATGCAGGTTGCGAAAACGAGTTAAAACCAACATTATAAAGCTAAAGGGTGCGGCGACCAAACAGAAAGCCACATTATCTTGGTGTTCATATCTACGATCTTATCTCTTCTTTATAAGTTGTTTGACCTTGCTTTCACAACTTGGTCATATTTGTGGGAAGACCTAGAGGAACGCACCTTGTCTTGAAACATTAAATAATTTCCAGAGTCGGATCTTGGACTTGATTCATTCCCAGACATTTTGCCGGCATTGTAATTGAATCTTGCCAACATTAGTAGATTAATTTAATCTGTATTGATAATTAATAAAGGATGTTCTGGTGTGTAGCTGAATTTTCCTTTGCGATTCAGCTGACACTGCATTTTTAAAAATCCAATTCCCTACATGACTCAAAGACTTTAGACCCATACGTTTGAGTAGCTTCTATTGTACTCTTATAGTATAATTACTACTTTGTATTCTTAGCAGTAGCAACTTTTCTTTTACCTGATCAGTGTCCGTTAGGGCATATTATTTTATACTGGTAGCCAACTTTTTGCAGGAACCCTGTTTTTTCGGTTATTTGATGAGCATGACTTGTTAATACTGAGATGATCTCAGCTATTCATGGTTTAAATTGAGGTAGCACAAATATTGCTTCAATCTTGCGCGGTCATTCATTACCTTTTCTTAGATTTATCTCGATTGACTGAGTCTGATTCCCAGCAAGATTTAAAAAGCCCTATTTTTAGAAAAATGCATGCTGGCCTTGTATTCATTGTCAAACAATAGTACCTTTTTCTCGTATATAATTAGAGTTTCGAGACTACCAGTAAATAAGTTATATGAGACGTATTCATTCTATTTCGTCTGAGGTTTAAGTCTCGAAACTGTTTATATATGAAAAATAAGTAATGTAGTCAATTGTTATAGCAAAAATACGTTTGCTTTATCGACAATCCCACTAATTGATATGATATTTAAAAAGGCCTGGCCTTCCTTGAATTCACATATGCCCTGTGATCCGAGGGCACTCGTGACAATGTGGCTAAGTGGTTAACGGGTCAAGGTCACATGCTGCACTGTCATGGTTCGAATCCTGCTGGGAGTGTTGATAAGTCATAGGCTAGATCGAAACTGCAGTTTACACTGGATGACAACAACTTTTGGGAAAGCAAGGCTCTGTGAAATTCAATGGAAACGTCAGCTTTACCCATATTATTGTGGGAAAATTCTACTACCAGTCCATCATCTTAAATGAAATAGGGTGTATACATCTCATATAATAGTACCTTTATTTTAGCTATTGTACTTATGGCGATACATGATTAGTCGATTGGCGTCTTAAGCATTAGAGTTTGATATGTTCGTGAAAAGTTTTAAAGAAGTTGTAGTAGTGCTTCTTCCTGAAACCTGGGGTTTATATAACAGGACATTTTGCATGTAAAGCTAGAGTCATATTTGTCGCGAGCTTTGCTAACAACGGAAGCTATGAAGACCAAGATGTGGCCTCTGTTATGGTCGCAGTCTTCTTTCGATTTATAGAAATGGGTTGACCTCGTTGTCTCAACTTGGTCTTGTTGTCAGGGCGATTTAATAGAACGCACCTAGTCCGAAGTCGTCTGCCATAGTAGTTGTCATGATTTCTAGCATCAGACAGTGGACTTGTTACATTCTTAAACGTTTCGCCTGCATCGTAGTCGGCATCATCAGTGAGCTTTGCCGTTCTCCGCACCAAGCTACGAACTAGTCAGAGACAAGTCAAGTCAATCCCTTGACAAACGTTCTGCCGAAAGCGGTTACACTCTCACTCTTTCCGTCCTGGCCTATCTATCTACTTGTCCCTTTGACCAGTTTGTAGCTTGGTGCGGAGAATGGCAAAACTCACTGATGATGCTGACTACGATGCTGGCGAAACGTTTGAGAATGTACCAAGTCCCTTGTCTGATGCTGGGAATCATGACAATTGCTATGGCAGACGACTTCTGACTAGATGTGTTCTACTAAGTCGCCCTGACAACAAGACCAAGTTGCGACAACGAGGTCAACCCACTTCTTTGCTAACAACATTTTAGCCATTAGGCTATACCTGGGTTATCCATTATAGGCACGATTAATCTCTTTTTGTGTCCGTATTTCACTTCTGTTCACTTATCTCTTCGTTTCATTAGAAAGCTGCCGCCAGTCTTCCTTCCCTTACTAGCTGGTCTGCTAGCGACGCATTTTCACTGACTGGCTGCTCCTACGGTGATGGATTTGCTTGTGGTGGTGGTTCTGGTATAGCCTCTGGCGAATCTGCTGGCATTCTGGCCCAATTGCATGCCCTTCAACAGGAGCGGGCGAGTTTGGCTCGTGAGCGGGAAGAGTTGGCTGAACGTGAGTTGGAGATTCGTATGAAAGAGGAGCGATACAATAAGCTCTTGGACTCGATAGCAGTGAGTTTCTTACTCATTAATTTTCCTCCTTCACACTGCATTTTCTTTGCGGCTTCACAGTTTACTAGCCTATTCCAACCATATGTACTTTTTTCATCCTCAGAATTTGGTTCTTATTTCCCGATTTCATTTGTTCCTTTTTTTGCTGTTTCTTTTTATGCTTACCTCTAAACTGTTTAGCCATTTCATCACAATATATTGGTTCTTAATTTACTTTCAAAGCTGATATTTTTTATTTTTATCAATCTTTATCCTCTTCATAGATTTATTTGCTTAAGGCGATTGTGGAACTGATGAGTTACCACGATTACATGTGCAGACTCTGTTCTTCTATAATCTTGGTCGAATAAAGGTGTCTCGACTTCGTATAAATATTTATGCTGATATTGAAGTTGTCTTACCTTCTATGAAGACTATGATGGTGCAGTCTTTAATGTAGTCGCGGTCTCCTTTTGTTTTATAGAAGTTGTTTGACCTTATTTTCTCAACATTGTATTGTCAGAATGACCTAGAGGAACACACCATATCCGGAGTCCATAATAGGCACGCTAATTTCAAGATTGGAAGTGTGAAGTTGGTAAATTCCCAGACGTTTCGCCGGCATTGTAATCACCATTCTTAGGGAGTCTTGCTATCCTTAGTACCATACCGCAACTAGTCAAAGAGACATTTGTGATACCTCTCCTTCTGTCCTGGTGTATTTACATATATCTTCGTAACA